TGTGCCTATAGCTCCAGACTCATAATTCTGTCAATATTCTCTTATTCAAGTGCCAGTTGTCTATTCCTTAGTGTCAGGAGAGCAACCATAGTAGGACTCACTGGCAAGGTGGTTATGAATTTCAGAGAGATGTTAATCAGGTAAGGAATATAGGCAGGTATTACTCTCTGGATGAACAGTTCACACAGAAGCATGCATGAAGGTTGCAAGTGGTCAAGATTTCCAGGGATCTGACTGTTTTTATATTATCCGACAGACAACCCTGCTGCTTCCCAAACTATAGACAGTGTTGTATGAATAACAATATATTAAATCTAAATCTAAAATGTATTGTTAGGGCTTTTCAGCATTCATATTGATGATAAAGTCTCCTTGCTTTTGTATTTCAATAGTAATTTTGCAGATTGCTCTGCACATTGAATTCTCTTCTTCCTCACTTTTTTAGCACTGTATTTTTTATGGAGACACTTCAAGGGATTTTTGGTTGTACGTGTGGTACATTACCCCATCACTGACAGATTGGACTTTGTAGGTGATGTTTCGGTCAGATGTTTGATCTCCTCCAGGACTAGTGCTTGATAGATACAGCGGAGCTGCGTGAAGGCTGCCTTGCTCACAGCGCTTGTAGGAACCGCAGCTATTGTAACGTTGTAGTTTCAATGCCAAATATAACTGTTGTTTGTGCCGCCTTTGATTTTTTCATCTCAAGATTTCTGCCAAGATCTAACCTTTCTCAAATAATGACTTATGCAGAGATACTCCTCCAAGATCCTTAATCCCACCTAGTCTAAGTACCCTTGATGCATCAAACGTGATGTGCATAGTGGACTCAGAATTCAGTATCGCAATCACTAGCTGCTATTGATGTTTTCCACTAAAGATGAATTTTATAAGATTTCTCTATAGTTTTTCAAGTCTTTCATAAAATGAAAACTGTTACTGTATTTTTCATCTTACACACTGAATTTGGGCATGTGCTTCTTAAGAGGGTTTTACCCTGCAGTGAGCTCTATGCTGCCCTAATCCAGGCTCTAAAGTAGCTAGCACTTTGCAAGTGTGGGTATCACTAAGTCAAGCTGCAGTTTATCATGTAGATATAGCCTCATTTATTTTTAGGTGTTGTTCTCAGACCACAATGGTCAGATACCTGATCTGGTCCGTCTTTGTGTTTGGTCCAAGTTTTTATATATGTACCACCCGACATTTTGCTGTTATTTCAATATCTAAGTAACAATGAAAAGTACATCAGAAAAGTAGCTTGGTTTCAATATAGACAGAAAAATCATAGTACCATTGAGGCCTAGACATAAATATGTTACTAATCATGAATGTTCCTGGAATCCACTATGTTCAGTCATGGCAGCAAGCTTAAAAAATGCTGGACCCAGATGGGCTGATTCATACATCAGCGTGCAGTCTAATCCACTGAGAAATCAAACCAGGAAATGCAATATGGAAACCCTGTCTAAATCTTGCACTATGCATCTTTATTTCTGGTGCAAGCTTGTTCCGTCTTGTATTTACATATTCCCCAGTGTATTCAAAAATTCAATTCTTAAACAAGAGTCCGAGAGCTTTCAGTGACAAACATTCAGTGTAGCATCTGAACAGTTTAGCATAAATGTTCTGTTTGTAAAAGCACTGTCCATAATAGTGCCATAAAGATGCTTTAAGAACTTGTATATTAAACTTATTTTCATGACAGGAGGTAGCAGGTCTGAAGTCCTCTTGGCAGCACCAGAGCTGATCCATCTCTAAAAAGGACCGTAAATTATCTCCCTCACTCTGCAGACCATCTCTCCTCGGGGCTGCCTGGAGTATCCTGAGGTGGGAGAAGGCAGTTCAAGCTCTGAGGCTGTGCTACAATGTGCAGTTCTAGTCCCAGTTCAGGTGAAAACCCTTAGCCCAGCTTAGCATATCTGACCACAGACTGCCAGCCAGGGCACCAGAGCCCCTGACGTCCGGCTGGGGCTCACCAAGGAGGGCAAAAAAAGTCCCAGGGAGATGGGGAGCTAGTTTTGTTGGTCGTGTGTGTGATGATAAGAATCTTAATTGAGATAATAAAACAAAATATTTTTCAGAGGAATATTTAGCTCAGTGGAAGACACAAGGTCTGGATTTTGCCCAAACTGTGAAGAGTAAGTTTCAACAATCTATGAAAATGCTAGCAACGAATCTGGTAGAAGCTGGTAGGACAAACTGCTGTCAAAAAGTGGAAGATGCTTCATAATATATGTCTGACAAGTATTTAGGATTCATGGTGGCTGGTGCCAGGGAGACAGGATACAAACACTGCATCCCTTTGTGCCAGCAAGACCAGTGTCACTTTGGACGCGGGAGACATTAATTCCAAGGGGGGAGCAATGCCAGCTTTTGTCAAAGGAATCCCTTCAACAGCTCCTCCACATAGGTGGTTATGAAGTTCAGTTTCCAATGAAAGTTGCTGCCTCCTGGCATTACCCCAGCTTCATTAAATAAGGAGGCACTTATTTGGGCAGTTACGCTCTACAGGGCCTGCAGAAAGTCAGGAGGAAGAGCCAGAGGTCACTGCGACTAGCACTGCTCAATTCTGAAATGCAGCTGGGGAAAGAGAGGACAAACATATGTGACAGACTGTAACGAGCATTTATGAGAGTGATTCAAATCTATGGCTAATGGCCAGAGCTTAGGCATCTTCCACTAAAAAATAATCTAGGGAACATGAGAGGTGAAATTCCTGTGTATCCTGGGATGCTGCACAAAAGACATCTTATGTCAGACACATGGAAACAGAAAAGTGGAATGGGATGTGCAAGAGTAATGATGGAGATCCTGTGCAGATCAGGCATGAACATTACAACTGAACACGGAGCATGCAAATACGAGGTCTGTAATCACTGCAGAAAGCAGAATACAAATAACCATGGAAATCACAGGAGATTCTTGTGATTTGCCTAATATCAGCGCAGATCTATATGTGAATCACACATTCAATTAAGGAAAAAAGTATTGCCTAGGAGCATTCTTACTCATATTTTCTAATATTTTCTATGCCCAACTCATACTGCAACAATTTAACAGCCCATCATATGTGGCAGATAGGCTGCAGCTGGATTCTGGGAGGGGTGAAGGGAAGGTAATGAATCATAATTCAGGAAAGGCTCGTGCTGATATTTTTCAGGACTTATCAGTTTAAACACACAGTATAAAATGCTTGCTGAAGGCTCTCTGAATAACAAGAACTTTATTCGATAAGAGATATTGGAGAGTTTGCAGGGGCCCTTACTCACTCTCTCTAGGTTATTGCAGAATGCCTTAGGTTCTCCGTTGGTGTCATCAGCACACTCACAGCCAGGCGTACTGAGAAAAGCCACAGCTCACTACCAAAAAGCACTTCAGTCAGATACAATCAGTCTAGAAGCATTTATGATTATATACTAAATACTGAGCAAAGATATTAAAAAAACACTTCCTGTCACAAATGCCAATTACATACAAGAATGGGATCTCTTTTTTAGCTTTAGCTGTCCAAAAAGTAAGTATCGAGATAAGCTTTTTACCTGGGCTCCCTCAGCAGTCACCAGAGAAATACCTTGTGATCAGAAAGCCATAAAGATACAGCGAGAGTAGTTATGACGCATTTTTATCTGTAAATTGGATCACGTTGCTTTCGCTGACTATACAGAAGTCTATGAAAAGAAGTACTGCTTACAGAACAAGATAGAAAAGACAAAGTGCTAGGAAATGTCTTGGAGGAAACCCTGATGAGCAGGAATTAATCATATAAGTTTGGGAAGCTGCTGCATCCCTTCAATGATAGCTGTCATTCTGTTAAAACCAGCTGTTACCATCTTACGGCATACATAACATACATGCTCTTTGTACCCTGGGACGAGGCAGGAACATGCTGCAGGAAGGATGGGACGCCTTTCCCTCAGCTACCGACAGTAACAACGTAGGTGCGTAGGTGTCTGTGTCCAAAACAGCAGGGATTCATCTCTCTAGATGCAAAGAGCACTATCTGGATTGATGAACCCTACCAAAAATTGACGAGTGGGTTCCAGCTACACTCCAGTGAGAGCAACAGGTCCGCTCTGCTCCCTGCTGAGCAGCTAACGGGTCCCTGCACCCTCTGCTCACAGGTTTGGGTCAGGAAACAGCTGTTTTCCTCAGACAATGACACTCTCTCTGGAGCGAGTCAAATAAACCCCTTTCCTTGACGCTGCATGAATACTCTTTTATGCGTGGAAATGAGGGGTGCCACTAAGAGAGACATTTAGGGAAAAGCCCCAGTCAGATGTAGCAACCATTAGGCCATGTCGGGAATGCTTGAACAGCCTCATGAAAGATCCTGCCCAGTCGCTTTCATACACTAGTTCTTAATAATGAGTATATAATAAATGTACAGTCTGGAAGAATTTACTATACAGTATCCAATTGGATTTATATAGCCATAAACTTCCACAGCACTGCTTCTGTGATTTACAACAGTGCCTAGTAATTATGAAGCGGTGCCTGGGTACGAGAGGTAGGAGGCAAACATTACCAGGCTGCTTGCATAGCGATATTATACAAATGCGCGTTTGCCGCAGCAATTTCAAATTACGTATTAACAGAGAACCATTGCAAGGAACGATGTATTTTCGCCTGCTCCTTTGGAAAGCACCAAGCAGGGACTGAAGGAGGGCTGTGGGACTGGGTGTTTATTGCGGTAGAGTTGAGAGGAGGGAATGCGCCTCGCACTCCGTGAAATGAACTTCTGCCTTCTGCCTGCTTGGAAGGGTCCAGACTTAGCACCTTAGCTGATCCCTCCCGAAACCTATGCTTCTGATTTTCTGAAAAGAAACCACCACAGAAAATACTATATCTTACTCTAGAGCCAGTCACCCTCTTGACCTGCATGGGTACAGAAGGACATTTACTTCTCAGAAGTTTTCTAGCACTGACATTTCATGACTGCTGCTACTCGGCACAGTAAAGAGCTATTGCAGAAAGCACCGTGTGTCATTAATATAAATTACCTGGGCATCGGGGGCAGCACAGCTGGGGTACGTGCACGGGAGAAGGACAGTGTAGGCTTGGGCATCGTATCCTGCTGCACAGCACATTTCCATTCTGCAGGCGGAAAGTGAAAAAAAAAGTGTTTTAATGGGATGGGCCAATTTGCAGGTTTCTATGCTCTCCGTTCTACAGCAAGATATTTGTAAACCATCTTTTTTTTTCTTTAACATCCTGATTTCCCTCGCACTGTGGTAAGCACAGCCTGCTTATGCTGCCTCTGGATTTATGCTGCAGGTCAGAACGTAGCATAAACCCATGCAACCACTAGAATGATAGGAAGTGCTTATAAATGGATTTCAACAATCTTCATCCATGTTTTCTTTAGAACAGATTACGCTGAAGAATTGCTTTTGCAGAGCTAAGACTCTGATAGTGAATAGTAGGTCTCTGAGATATCCCCTACGGAGGGTTAGTTTAAGCCCGCAAGAGACAATAGTGCCTGTATTTTTTCCTGAAAACTGTGGAGTGTCTTTTGTTTGCCTGTGATGGGCTCCCTGGTACACAAAGAACACAAGTTGGGAAGTAGCCATTTTTCTAAGAAATACGAGCAAGTTTGAGAATAGTATTCATTATTCCTGTCATTAACATAATCTTCTTTCTGACCACATCTAAGTTTGGTTTATAATTAAAATACAGTGAAATTTCAGTCTCCAGTGTCTGTAACCAGAAAAGACTATCCATTTCAGATTCCCATTTCCCATCTATAATTCATCCTCCTAAATTAGATCGGAGTTGCTCATGTTTATAGCAAGAAAGATCTCTCAGCATGGACACTGATCCTATGCTATGACTGTCCTTTGGGTGGCATTAGAAACGAGGCCACTTCATTTTCCTGCGCCCTCCGGAGCACTGAGATGGTTCCAGGGGAGCTGCAGGCTCAGATTTTATGTGTCGGCTTTTCTAGCCACCTCCTTCAAAATAATCCTTTGGCTTCTAAATGTCTGCTGGCTAGAGGCTAGAATCACATTGTTGGCAGATCATTACTAGCCACAGACTATGTCTGTGCATCTCTGAAAGTTGCTCTGAAGGTGATATTGGCATCCCTTTCTGATATAAAGACTGAAATTAAATATACTGACTTTACAGAGCAGGGGCTGGTGACTTGTTGGATGACAGGGACTACAGGACTCCTCTAAGCGCTGGAGCCCAGAGGAGGCTGGTGACTCTGCTGGCCTCGGGCACAGAGCTTCTCACGACACGGCCTCCCTCCCCTTTTGCTTACTAGTCCCGCCACGTGCTTGTGCTTAATGGGACTCATGCTGACGTTCACTGAGATATTTGGGAGACGGAGCCCTGGTGACCTGAGTGGGACGAGAGCTCCGAGGCTCCCCCGTGAGTCAGAGCCGTGGTGAGCGGCTCTGGGTCGGATACCGTGCCGGGTTCTGCTCAGCCGTCCCAGCCGAGCTACGTGCAAAGGGCTCTTCTTGTAGCCCCTCAAGTCTGCAGATCTGATTTTGAACACAGGCAGGAGGCTGCTCTGCTTTACAGAGTGAAATAATGATCTGGCAAATTGTGAGTGCTCTTATTTAGCAGACAGTAAGAGTTAACTGTCTCCGCTGTGTATGCAGGGAGGGGAAGAAAAAGGAGCGGGGTGAAGACACTGAATTATGTTCAGTTTTATTCTGGTTCGAGTGTGCAAATCCTAAGTTTAAAAAAACAATACCACACAAAACCAGGATATTTTAATGCCATATAGAATATTTTGGCCTCCGTTTGCTTAGGTTTGCCTTGTATGCACATCAGCAGTGTGTGTGCTGGGCTGGGGGCACTGAGTAGAGCTGGTGTTGGGATCCCCCTCAGCCATCCAGGGCTCGTGGTGCTCCCAGGGCTGATGAGGAGCCCTGGGGACGTGTTTGCTTTTCTGTGTAGGGCGAGGGAGGAGATGCTGCTCCAGACTCAGTGCACGCCCTTTGTGTAGCTGGTGTCCTGCCGGGGCGTCACAGTGGGTGACACTCAGCCTTCTCTTATTCACTATCTGTGGCAAACTCTGTTTTCCTTTCTTCATGCTGTAATGTTATAAGGTCTGTGCCTGTGGCCCTAGGATGTTACCTAATGCCTTAATTTTAGCCTTTAGTAGCCTT